CCCCCCACCCACCCCCACCATCCCGCTTCGGCGGCGGCGGCGGCGACACAAACAAGCGGAGCGGGCCGTTAAAAACCCAAGCGCGCCGGAGTGGTGGGTGAAACGACAGGAAAAGAAAGACTCACCCCCTTCAGCCGCTTGATCAGCGCGTTCTTAGAGCCACTCTTGGCCAGGCCGCGCTCCTCTAGGGCCGCCTTCAGGTCGGTAACCCGCAGTTTCTGCAACTCTTTGCCGTCCAGAGTCACGTCTTCTAGATCCGCCATCTTGCCTTCTTTTTTTTCCGCCCCCCCCTTCCCGGTCCTCCATCCGGGGGCGGGGCCGGAACGCTTCGGCAATCTCCGGACGTTGTTACGTCACTCGGAATACCTTCGGCGCTTTCCGGTGAGTTTCTGACGACACCGCGGTACTTTCGGTACTTTCCGGTTGACGTAAGACGTCACCCGGAATACCTTCGGAATCTTCCGGACGGTGTAAGACGTCACCCGGTACACCATCGGCACCTCTCGGGCAATGCCGGTGGGGAAATTTTCGGCTCTTTCCGAGCGACCGTCGACGTCATCACGGCAGCATCGGCGTTCTCCGGACGATGCTTGACGTCGCCGTGGCTGTCCTCGATTATTTCCGACCTCGCGTGCGCCCATTCCGAGGAAGCCGGTCGTCGGACGTTCGGTATGTTCCGGGGAGCCTTCGGCTTTTTCCGGTGGGTCCTGGCGCCAGACGGTTCGGTGCCCGCGTCCGAAAAAAAAATTGCTGCTTCCCTATTGTTTTAAACGTATATTTAACCGTGTCTCTGTCCTTCTTGGCCAAAATGGATACGAATTTTTAATTTTTTAAAATTTTTTTTGCGCCCGCGCCGGTAACGTCACATTCGGTAATGTCCGGTCAAAGTCGGTACTTTCCGACTTCCGGTGTATTATGGTGGAGAAAATCTTTGCCAGGCATTTTTGTTTTCTTTCTGTAAGTCACGACCCCTCCATCCCGGGAAAACTATTATTAATTTAAAATTATACAAAGTTATGTTCTTTCCTAATCGAAAGGATTTCGCTTTGCTGCTTCTCAGGGACGCTTCCGGTCTGTGGGTCCGGGCTGTTTCCGGTCCGCCGCTCGTGTGTTTACGTCACCGCTCGGCTCCAGCCGGTCCGCCCTTCGGCTACGTCCGCCGCCGCTCGGGTATTCCCGGAAGGTCCTGTTGAGGAGGGGGCCCCCGTCGCGGAAGTCGGGAAGGGGGCACATTTAAAGGGGCAGTCCACCCGCTGGCTTCCCACCCCCACACAACAGGGGACAAACCAGGGACGGTGCAGGCGCTGCATCAAGGGACAGGGAGGGAGAGTAGCCCCTCTTTCCTCAACTGCACATGTGAGTATCCTCTCCAGCCCTCAGTGAAACAGGAACAGTAGCAGGCCATTCAGCCCCAATTTACTGGGCCAACTTTTGACCACAGACCGGCACCCGGGGCGCGGTCCCCGTCTCCACGTCACTATTGACCTTCTGAGACAGCAACTGTATTTTGAAGTTTGTTAAACAGTGACCTATATTTCTGGTACAGACCCATCCTGTCCAACGGTTTTCCACAAGACAACCCCTTCCTTCTCGGTATTACTTGTTAAACCTTCTCTGAAATGCATTCAAAATTGCATTTATTGCCTGCCCCTATATGCCCTTTGGGAAGTTAGTGGTGAGCTGCCTTCTCCAATAGGAGAGAATCTAAACATCGCTCCCTTGACATGCAATGTATTACCATCACTGAATCCACTTCCCCTCCCCCTTTGTTATGGAGGAGGGGAGGAGAAATAAAAGGAATCCCTGACACTCACTTTCTCAACAACAGGTAATAATTTATTTAACACTAACAGTGAGCAAATTAACAGAATTACTAACAAACTGAACAATTCCCCCCTGACTGCTAAGTATTCCCTAACTGAACAACATTCTGCTGGTAGGCTATTACAATAAATGCAAGTCCCACTAATATAATCCAAGCAAATAATCGAATCTCTACAGTGTGGTTACAGGCCCTTTGGCTCAACAAGTCCACACCGACCCTCGGAGCATCCGACCCAGACCCATCCCCATCCCCCTATAACTCACCTAATCTAAACCTCCCTGAACACTACAGGACAATTTAGCATGGCCAATCCACCCTAACCTGCACATCTTTGGACTGTGGGAGGAAACCGAAGAAAACCCACGCAGACATGGGGAGAACGTGCAACCTCCACACAGACGGTCGCCCGAGGGTGGAATCGAAGCTGGGTCCCTGGCGCTGTGAGGCAGCAGTGCTAACCACTGAGCCACCATGCCACCCCAAATAAGACACAATAAATTAAAACTTAGTCTCTCAAAGTCCACACAGAATGTGGCTTCTGGAATGCTCTGCCTTTTCCAGCCATAAACACTTTCCATCTGCTGTTCTCAAGTCATAAATGCCTTTCTTCCACTGATCCTGCTGTCAGGGATGTTTTCTCTGTGAGAGCTCTTAGCGAGAAGTGCCGCGGTTGTACCTTTTATAGATAGATGGTGCCTTCTTAGATAGCTGAGCGATTTTTGTTTTTTTTTATGGCGGTTCGATCTCACACTGATTCTCAAAAACCCTCTCCTTATATACCTTGGGTGACATATCGGTTTTCTCTCAATACCATTGGTCTGAAGTTCTCAAAACCATCAGATGGAGCTGGAGGAACACAACAGGCCAGGCATCATCAGAGGAGCAGGAAAGGTTTTGGGTTAGGACCCGTCTTCAGGACTGGGGAGGGGGAAGGGAGCTGGGAAATAAATAGAAGGAGGGGGCTGGGGAAATGCAGTGGGTAGCGAGGATTGGTCAGTGAGGTGGGAGAGAAGACGGACAGGTTGTGTCAGGTCGAGGGATGAGAGGGAGGGTTGGACGTGGGATGAGGCCGGGGGTGGGGAGACTTTGAAAATGATTAACTCCATGTTTAGGCCATCGGGCTGTAGGCTCCCGAGGCGGAATATGAGATGCTGCTCCTCCAGTTTGCGGGTGGTGTTGTGGCACTGGAGGAGGCCCAGGACGGCCATGTCGCCCAGGGAGCGGGAGTTGAAGTGGCTGGTGACTGGAAGGTGTTTGTCGCAAACAGAGCGAAGATGCTCCACAAATTGGTCACCGAGCCTGCACTTGCTCCCTCCAATGTAGAGGAAACCACATCAGGAACAGCAGATGCCACAGACCATGTTGGAAGACGTGCAGGTGAATCTCTGCTGGATCTGGAAGGATTGTCTGAGGCCTTGGATGGAGGAACGGGGAGATCTAGCACCCAACCTCCTGTAAGAAAGTGATCCCCTACTCCCAATTCCTCTGCCGCGTCTGCTCCCAAGATTGGGCGTTCCACTCCCAAACATCCCAGATGTCCTTGTATTTCAAGGACAGTAACTTCCCCTCTCCGGTGATTCATAACGCTCTCAACCACATCTCCTGCATTTCCTGCATTTCCAGCATCTCTGCACTCAAATCCCCTCCCCCCAACAACAAAAACAGAACCCCCCCCCCCCCCCCCCCCCGCGCACCCCCCCACTAACCTCCAGATTCAACGCATCATCCTCCGACACTTCCGCCACCTGCAATTTGACCCCACCACCAAAGACATTTTTCCCTCCTCACCCTTATCTGCCT